GACAAGAAAGTGAAAGTGAAACTTCTTGCTCTCTTCAAAGCCAGACTCTATTACCAAAAATGGTCCTTTTACCTTGCTGAGCATGAGAGCTGCTCCTCTACCACGGCCTTGATCTGAGTTAAAAAAAAACGTGTTTACATAGTTTTGCAGCTGGTAAATGCAGACCCCTTTTTATTTTAATTCATGGATTTTCTCAGTTTTTGGATGATGCTTTACCAGAGGCATGTGAGATGTTTTCATCACAAATTTAATGTAACACATGGAGTAAGTTCCAAGAATACTTATGTTTGTTTGTTTGACATCCCGCCTGTGTGATCTGAATAGTTCCAGTTAAAATGGCAAAACTAACCTGAGTGGTAACTTGGTAATTTAGTGTAATTTATTTCATTTTGACATAATCTGACTAAAATGTGGCTGCAACTTTCAGATTAAGAGTGTTTTGCCATTTTTATGGCACATAATCCATTAGTGTACATTTTCAGCTCAGCTTTTTTAACGGGCACGTTTCTGCTCCTTGTTTGTTATTCAGGAAATTGAGGAAGTGAGTGACACCCTCAACATCCAGTCAGAACCTGTTGATGTGATGCCAGCTGAGCCTGAGCCTGTTGCTGCCCCTGCAGAAGAAATGGTCATTGTGAGTCCCTGTTGGTTTTTATTATTTTTTTTATAACCATATACAAACAGTATTATACAGACATTTGTATATGAAGTATGGCACATGCAATTAAACGCGTAGTACTAGATTAGTGCAAGTCTTTCAGTGCTATTTGTTCTGCTTATCTCAAGGATATATGGGTCTATCTTCTGCGTGGTTACAGTGCATCCTAACCACCTCTCTCCCATTCCTTTCTAGGACGCCACTCCTAAGCAGACATGTTTGGATGTGCTGTCAGAAGAGCCTAAGCCAGAAATTTGTGACATGCCATGTCAGATGCAGCTCGCTGTGGAGTCTGTGCAGCTCAGCTCAATGGTAAGAGGCACTGCTTTAAAATGAATCGCTCCAGTGTATCAGTTGTGTGGTGTAGTTATTGCAGTGCACTCACCCGATGTAATGTCTTGTTTTCCGCTCAGGAGATGACAGTGGAACCATCACTGAATGGACACATTGTTCCAGAGGTCTCTATTGAGGGCTAGATGCACATCACGCAGCTTTGAAAGACCTTCTTTTTGTCTGTAAGCTTCTTATATTATAAGAATATTGAATTTTTTTTTTTGTGACCCCGCTAGCCTTTGAAATGTCTTGCATGACTCCCAGAAGCTGCTGACCAGATCCCCATCTTTGTGTTTCTCTCAGATTCCCCTTTGGCCATTTGGAGGACTCAAAGTTTTACAGCTGACCGTGTTCATATTTTAGGGCTTACGCCAGGAAATCGAAGGGACATCCACACTTTGAAGTGCCTTTCCGGCCCTGGTTCCTGTCAAAACACCAAACCAGATGCCAACATGCCAAAACCCGCTGCATTCATGGCAGCAGAACAGACTGTTTGTCATAAGTGTGCAGAAATGGAAACCTATTGTGGCTCGTTTTTTTTTTTTTAAAAAATCCGTAATTCTTCCCGGAACGCGTGCAGTGAGTTTGCATTAATGGTGGACGCAGAGGTGCTTGAGAGATGGAGATTTCTTTAATAAATAAATGGCAGTGCCTGATGTTTCTTAGCATGTTCATCTCTCCAGCACATTGGCTTCCACACTGCAAACACTCACTGCACGTGAAAACTGTAGCGTCGACGACTGTGGCTATAGTTGTACTCGGACCTGTATTCAAAATGGTGGGAGGGTCGATTTTTGTTTTTTTTCTTTGTTTCACATTTCAAATGCGCTTTTTACACTCAAAGAGATGCATCTACAAACTTCCCCCAGCCTCCATTTCTGTCCTCGTCTCTGTCCTCCAGTTCTCCTCTCTGCCTCAACTAAGTGCCAAAGCTAAGGCTAGTGTGACATTTGAACACGAGTTTTAGAGCTTAATGGCCACTTGAAAATGACAGTTGGAGGGGATGAGCTGAGAGGTCACTTTTTTTTTTTCTCCTTCACTTTTTTATTTCATTTTGTATAGACCGAATCATGTGCTACAGTTTTGTGTTCAAAGTCTGTGATCTGGAGGGGAAATGTAATGTGATCTGGTGATGGGGGGGTCACTGTTTGGCTGGTGTCGAGCTGACTTGGTCCACCTTTGGAAATAAAGCTGTAACTCATTGTAACGCAGGAGTACTGGTTTTACTTTCTACACACACACACACACACACACACAAAATGCAGATAGAAGCAACAGTCTGTGTAGGAGTGGGATTTAAGAGGAAGTTTGTATGACAATCTGTTGCAAAAAAAAACTTGGTTATGTAACAATTGCAACAGTTTTCTGACCCAAGGGAAAAGTTGAACTCAATTTCTGATCACTAACACAGTGGCATGCAAATGTTTTGGCACCCCTGGTCAGAATTCCTTCCGACTAGTTCAGTAGAATAACTGGTTTCGAAAGGCATGAAGTTAATGATGACCCATTTCTTCAGTATTTTAAGGCAACTATTTATTTCAATCTTGTACAGTTTCAAAATGACAAAAGGGCCTGAAGCAAAAGCTTCGGCACCCTGCATGGTCTAACTTGGTGCCCTCGGCAAGTATCCCAGCTTCTAAATGCTTTTTGTAACCACTTAAGAGTATTTAAATTCCTGTTTGGATTTTCATCCCTTCTTCACTGCAAAAGGCTTCTAGCTCTGAGATTCTTGGGCTGTCTTGCATGCACTGCTCTTCTGGGGTCTATCCACAGATCTTCAATGATGTTTAGGTCAGGGGGTCTGTAAGGGGCCATTGGAAAACCTTTAGCTTGTGCCTCTTTAGCCCATTGTGGATTTCAAAGTGTGTTTAGGATCATTGCCCTGTTGTATAAGCCACCCTCTCTTCATCCTCACCTTATTTACAGATGGTGATTACTTCCAGAATTTGCTAGAATTTAACTGATCCATTCTTCCCTTTTGGCTGAAATTTTCCCAGTGACACTGGCTTCAACACAATCCCAAAGCATGATTGAACCACCCCTGTGTTTAACAGTTGGACAGGCCTTTTTTTCTCCAAACATACTTTTCCTCACTGTATCCAAAAAGTTCTATTTAACTTCATGAGTCCACAGGACTTGTTTCCAAACAGCATCAGGCTTGATTAGATGTCCCTTTGCCAACTTCTGACGCTGACTTTTGTGATGAGAACGAAGGACAAATTTTCTCCTGATGACTCTTTCATGAGGGTCATACTTGTACAGGTTTCACTGCACCACCACTCCAGAGTCTGATTAATCCTCCTGCAGGTCTTGTGCAGTCAAACTGAGGTTTTGATTTGCCTTTCTAGCAATCCTACAAAAAGTTGTCTCAAAGTTTCCTTGGATCTTCCAGACCTAAACTTCACCTCTGCAGCTCCTGTTAACTGCCATTTCTTACTTACAGTACGAACTAAGGTAACTGCTACCTGAAAACACTTTGCGATCTTCTTAAAGCCGCCTCCTCTCCCGCTTTGTGGGCATCAGTTATTTTACTTTTCAGAGTGCTAGGCAGCTGTTGAGAGGAGCCCATGGCTGCTGATTGACAGAACAAGGTTTCAGGAATATTTATAAAGCTTTGCAAGTTGTATCAGCTGGCCTTTCCTAACGACAGCTGTGAACAAGGGATAGCCTTAACAAGCTAATTACAGTCTGAGACCCTGGTAAAAGTTGCCTGAGAGCTCAAATGTGCCCAAACTTTTGCATGCTGCTCCTTTCTTTTAATTCACTCTAAAATTGCAAAAAACAAAAATAATACACTTATCTTGCTGCAAATGTTGAAAAGCATGCCTTTTGGAGATCAGTTTATTTGCCTCTCACCTAACTATTCCCAGTAAACGAAATTTTGACCAGGGGTGCCCAAACTTTTGCGTGCCACTGTAACTGTAGCTGAAGGGACCAAACAATTACCTGGCTAAAACTTTGGAGATTTTATCTAATGTAGTATGTGGATAAGAAGCTATAAAAGTTTGTTTCACGCAGGCTTTGACCATGTGACACTGCTTCAATACATAACAAAATGTTATTTTATCTCAGATGGTTGTCTACAGATACTTTTATTTTGAAATGTTCTAGTCATTGTAAGAGACATGGGCGTAGAGTTGGGCTTTTAAATAGATAACTCAAACTAAATTAAAATAGAGTCAACTTCATAGTCATTTTTAAACCAGTGGTAATACTTGTGAGTATTATCTCACACAGGCTCAACCCTCTACTGGATCCGATCATGAACACGCATTTGCCGACTGAATTTACATAAATGTAGTCAGGCAATCAGGGCCTGCCTACCCAAATATGTGAGACAGCAAAGTATCAAAGGCAGTACACGATACTGTCCGCCATCAGCAACGGCGATTTGCTCACTGACAGAACATCAAAGTATCCTCTGACCTTTAGCTGGTTAAGATCAGTGTGGCTGGGTCAATATAATGGTGTCCATTCATCTGGCTCCACCCACTGTACCTATCGTGACCAGCAGTGGGTGGAGCCTGTGTGGGATAGAGCCTGTGTGTGATAGAGCAAAGGTTATGATATTGTAACCCTAGTTCTGATGATACAGGCGGCAATCTCTACCTAGGGCCCCTCTCTGTCCTACGCCACTTAGTAAAGGATGGTGGACATGTGTACTGCCATATAGACTGTGGGGTCTGGACGGCTATGTTTATGCATATTTCAGCGGGTAAATGTGTGCTCAGGATTGGAGGAGAGTATGACCCTTAGAGTCCAATAAATGGCTCCGCCTGGGCTAATAGAACTAGGGTTACAATAACATTAGCATCTGGTGTTAGCATCTACTTGGCTTCTCTTTTTAAAAATCAGTTTTTTATCTGCAGTTAATCAAAACCATTTCTTTCAGATAAGTCTGAGTTGCCTCTCCAATTTGTTTTATAAATTCTCATGATAATCTCTGTCTATAGGTTGTGAATGTGAAGCCGCAGTGAATCTTCAAAATAAAGACAAAAAACCACCAAAATATTTGCCTCAAATCAAAAGATTTTCTTTTTTTAATTATTTTGCTTTTGCATTGAAATCTACATTCATATTAGTATGATGTAATTTGGTACAGTAAACACTGCCGATGTGTGGTTCTGAAATTCTCCCTCTTTATACTTTGATGATACTGTCACAGAAAATTTCAAGCATCAGTTTGTTTATTTTTTTTTTGTTTTCTTACTTAGGTTTACTGACCCCTCGTGTTGAAATAGTAACAAAAATGTCAAAATGCAAAACAGAAGCAAGAGGGGGAAAAAAGTAACGACAAACAGAAAGACAGACCGAACAGACAAATGATAAACACATACTGCTCAACAACAGAGAGGATATATATTTGTAAAAGCACATTCGTATTAATAATAGATGCTTTGGAATGAAAACAGCAAGAGAGGCTCAATGTCATCAATCAACAACCTTCCCACTCAGCACATTCCACTTATATATTATCTGAATTTTTTTTCCACTTGTGCCATTAATAGCATGAATACATGTCAACCCCCAACCCTCCGAAAGAAGGAAAAAAAACATAATAATAAATAAGAAAACAGGTGATTTGATTGGTCCATGAGGTAAAATGTGAAATAAAAAATAAAGGGAAAGAAAAGCAGAGCAAGCAAGAATTGGAAAGATTGATGGAAACAAACGTCCACAAAATCAAAAGTGTGGGAGAGGCTGGAAAACATTAAATTAAGATTGTGACTGCAGACAAGAAAGCATGATGTCCAACAGGGTTTCATTAATTTCTCCATGAAAGATACACACACACACATGCACGCACGCAATCACACAACCATTCACGCGGTTGAGCGTGACGCTCAGTAACACATCAGGCTGTAGCCTCGACAAAGCCACTTGATGGATGATATTCTGATATTTACACTGAAGTGATGATTAAGTGACAAAAAGCTCAGAATGAACCCCCCCCCAAAAAATACAAGAAAAAGTAAAAACCAAGATTCAATCAGCATATTCTCTTTTCATTCCTTCACTTTTTGATCTGCTCCTGACAAAAAAATGTCCACTGAACTTGGCGCCGGAGGTGGGTGGGGCTTGCAGAGACAAAGAGAGGGGTTGCTAATGACAGTGATGACGGAGACGCTCGAAAGCAATGAGCAGTGTGAGTGCTGAGTCTGCCACTCAGCTTCATCGGGCTCTGTTTCTGCTACAAGAAAAACTTCAAAAAAAGAGCCACCGCCCGTTTGGACTACCCCCCCCCCCCCCAGTTGTTCAGAGGTGTGGTGTGGGAGAGCATGCAGTCAGCTACACAGTATAGCCTGAGTGGGTGGAATTGAAAGAGCACTTCAAAAAAACACGACAGACTGCCCGCTTCGGTTTATATGGGGCTCCAAAACAAGTTTCTTTGTCAGAAGTTTAGGATGCAGGTTTTAACATCAATCTGAGGTGTGTGTGTGTGTGTAGTTGTAACTGTTATGGTAGAAGCAGCACTAGTAGTGTTCAGCAGGCAATAGTCTTGTCTTTCTGGAGAGGAATGGCTCAACAACAAACCCAAACCACCACTGACCCCAAAAGGTGCACTTCAAAGTATTAATGGGCATTATCAACAGATCTATGGTCGTTCAAAAATCCTGCTTCTCCATTTGAGGCAGGATAGTTTTTTGTCCATTGTTTGCTGTGGCTGGTTTGTCCCAAAATTCATCAGCAACGTTTGCTAAGCTTAAAAACAACACTCCATGTTGGCCGGCATGCTGGAAAATGTACAGCCGTGTTTATTTTTTATTTTTTAACCAGTCAGTGAAGTGGCTGGTTGTTTGCAAAAGTGCTCACCAACTCACCAGCCACAGCTAGAATTTAGCAACATCTCATTAGTGTGGGCTCGTTAAATCTTTTCATCAGAATACCACTGTCATGATAATCTTAAAAATCCTTGTCTTATTATGTAGTACTCATTTCCACTCTGTCTTCCTCGTGTGATTGTCACCCATCCTTCCCTCCAGATGTTTGCAGCACCACTCAGGCAGTCGTACAGGTAGGCAGTGAGTTTCAACAACTATCACAATGTTTGGTTTTTTTGCCGGCCGTTTATGAACCAGCGAGGAGATTTTCACCACAGCCGGACATGAGGCAAAAGGTCTTATTTCCTTGACTGTAGAAAGAGAAGAAAGTAAAGAAGGAAGAAGGGAGTGAAGGGAATGGTAGAGAGGACACCTCTCAGAGGCTCTGCGCCCCCTAAGGCCCAATGTGGGCTCAGTCCTGTCCAATCTGGCCCAGTCTAACCCTTGTGTGTGGTTAGGCTGAATCCAGTCCAGTCTGGTCTGGTCTGGTCTGGCTGGGATCCAGACCAGGTGTTCTAAAAGAGTGCTTTGGATCCCTGGTTCTCGAACTCTGACCAGGCGTCGTTCAATTCCATAAAGATCATCTTAGCATAATCTTCGTAAGACTGGCCTGTTGCCTGCAGAGAGAGACAGAGAATGAGTATTAAATTTTGTCTTGTCATCTCCTGGAAGACGATGTTTGCTTTTTGTAGTACCGCACCTTATCTGGATGGACAATCAGCACAGCCTTCCTGTAGTATTTCTTCACCTGGTCGGGTGTCACCAGGTCGGCCATGCCCACAGGCCTCCAGCGGGTTTCACCCTCCCACAGCACAGTGTGCAGAGTTGACAGCAGCGCTCGGATGTTTCGCTCCTTCCCCTCGATCCAGTCCAAGATCTGCAGCATGACAATAAAACAAACCTTAAACATTTCTAGCATAAAAAGGTACTAGGTACGTAATTATATTTTTTAAAGGTATACTATGCAGGAATTTCCTAAAAATGCAAAAGTAATCACTCTAAATCATTACTTATGACCCACTGGAAATGTGTGGCTGTGTATTTATCTCCAGAGAATGTGCCCCTGCCTGTATTGTCTCATTTTGCTGTGGTCAGGACAAGTTTAGGTGTGGAAACCTCAGCCAATAACAGTGCCCAGGTGAGGATGGGACTTTATAGAAAGGTAGCAACCAGGTGCCAGACTGTAAGCAGCACAAATCCAACAGGAAGCCACAAAAATTGCAGATGCTATTACAGCGACGCCAAACAATAAGCGGACGTAGCTGGTTCCAAGAGGAGAGTGAATCTGGTGCTGGCTTTCACCTTCACATTCACTGGTGAGCACTGAAGGACAAGATGAGGATGAAGAGCAATGTAAAGTTGGCCTGTTTTCTGTTGGACGGGTAGGTGCTTAAGTATTGTCTTTTCTATTACAACAAATGTGACATCTCTACATTAGTAGCTTGTAGTGTAACACACAAGCAGTGTGGGGAGGAGGAGCCAAGTTTGAGTGTTGTGTTTCTAAACAGTAACCCATAATTCCTGCATAGTATACCTTTAAGCTTTATTCAGGTAAGTTTCACCACAAGCTGTTTTTCTTTCTTTTCAAGAACACTCTACGAACACACATCAACATCTGGAAGCTGCCTGGTACAACCACTGGGGGTTAAGGACCTGGCTCAAAAGGTACCTCAGGGGTGATAATGCCGCCACAGTCACTTCTCCCTACTAGACATATTCTGCAACTCCCAGGATCTGAAGGCGATCCTCCAGTCATGGGCAAATGCATTCACATTTCACCCACTAACACTGTAACATTTCTTCCATGCGTATTTAGTTTGTTACCTGTAACTTAAGTGGATCAATGTCTTTTGTGATCTCCTGTCTCCTCATTTCAGCGATGGTCCTTGGTCCCTTCCTATCAGGCCTCGAGGCAAAACCCTGAGTTGACAGCAGGTCCTCAAAATCGTCCTCCTTTACCTTCGGTTTGGGGCCTGCGTTACAAGAGAGAGCAGAGAAATTAAGGTCATCAAGGACACAATACTGTCCATAAATATAACAAATTCCTTTAATTTTCATTCTCCTTTTTTAGCCACTGGTGAATTCCAGTGCTTATTACTAATCACATTTACTCATTTCTAAGCTGAGGAAAACCATATTTTAGCAATATTTGAGTAATAATTGTGTTAAATCAAACATAAAAATGACTCGATAACAAATCCCTTCTCGTCCGCTCAAATGTCTCTTACCAAATCCAGGCCCCCGAACTCCTCTCTCCTCTCTCCCACCAATCACACTGGAAAAGTTGAGGTTGTAGTTGGGTTTAGTGGGCTGTGCGCCTGCAGACTGAGATGCAGAGGGTGCTTTGGGTGCAGGTCCTTGTCCTGATCCAGCCATCCAAGGTTTGCTCTGGGCCGAAGCGGGTCTTGCTGACTGCCAGGGCTGGGCTTGAGGCTTAGCAGAGGAGGAAGTGGAGGAGGAGGGAGTCTTTGCGCTGAAAGAAGGCCCGGAAAAATTACTGCTGGAGGAACCTGCAAGAAACAAGGAGAAATTAAAGTTAGTTATTTGAGATGAACTCATGAGTGAAGATTTGTCTGATAAGGGCATTTTCCTGTTTGGGATCACTGCTCACAGTCAGCACAGTATCACCTTTACCAGCCACTGGACATCTGATCAGGCCTCTTACCTGGTAAATTGGTGCCCAGGTTTCCGAGGTCGGCGAAGGGATCAAAGGTCTGAGACTTGGCCTTCGACATAGACGAAGAACTAGAAGCTACAGAGAGTAACAATATGCGAGTTAGATTTTTCTTCTCATGAATTCAAGATTATCTAAAACGCAAATTCCTACATCATGTTCCTCCACCCACCTGTGTTGGTATAACTGGGTTTGCTGGTGGTGGCACTCATGCTAGTGTTGGTGCCAGCTGCCCAGCTGTCCCACCCTCCCAGCAGGTCTGGCTGGCTGGCTGATGATGTCATCTTAGGGGTATCATTCACTAGCTTATCTGTTAAGACACGATATAATACAGTATCACCAATTAAGTTTTTTTTTGCATGTTGCCATCCGCCATGGCTTGCAGCAGACGGCAATAGAGGAAGAAATGTGACATCAGCATTAGTGTTTGCAGAAGAACTAGAACTAAAATGACCCCCTCTAATAATAATAATAATAATAATAATAAAAAAAAGAAAAAAAAAAGGTTTTTACCCTTGTTAAAGCTATAGTTGGTAATCCTGTTCAGAAACACTTCTCCTTATACTGGGTGAAATGGTCCTTCTATCCTGAGAGTAGTCAATACATAATGTGTTCAGAAAAAGGAATGAAAAACATCCGACCTCTGTGGCAGCTGCAGGCCTGTAAAAACTCTGACCAATCCCTGCCATTCGGTGCGAATGGAAAGAACCAATCAGATGCCTTCATGTCTCGTCCTGCCCAAGCCCTCCTCCGTCCCTCCCTCCCTCCTCCCTGAGTGCACTCATCACGTGTCACCGTTGCCGGAAATATAATATTCAGCACACTCCTCAGCAGAAATACCGAGATAGAAGGAGTTTGCTGAGCAATGGCAGAGAAAATGCAGCCAAAAGTACCACTTCCAGCGTTACTTGTAACGGCTCGTCCCGCTAAACAGGCTGAGAAAAGAAAGTCGGAGGCAGAAAAGGCTGTGACGAAAAAGGCTTTGGATAAAGCAAGAGGGCAAACCAGACATCAACATTGGTGCAGACAACTGAGGGAGCTGAAGGGCCTGTAAAGTGATGCAGAGGTTGCTGTCTTTCTGTTGGACAGGTAATTATTTGTTTGCTTCGGGGGGATTTGTTATTTTACTCGGCTCTTCTCTGCCCTGCTGACTTCTACTGCAGGATCAGGTTCAAGTTTGTGGAGCCGTGGCTTTGGACGGAGCACTGACGGGAGGGGGAGGAGGGGGTGGAGCTTAGAGGAGGTGCCGCTTTCAAATCTTGCTAGCTCTCCAACATTTCCAACTATAGCTTTAACCTGTCCGTATGGTGCTTCTTATATGTAACATGACAGGGTTTCATATGTCACATACAGGGCTTTCCATATCATTAGCATAATGCTGCAGTAAAATAAGGCCCATCAGAGGAGGAGCCAGGCTACATATCAGTATTTTGCAAGCTCAGTTTCACTTTGACTCAACACATCAGAGCTGCCAACCTGGAACAAGGTTTATCAAGACTAACAAAACATTATTACCTGTTTTATAATGTAGTCAAGCCAAAAGCTATTATTATCTACAACTGTTTAGAAGCAAAGGTTTGTGTGTTGAGCACAGTCAAAGGTGAGGAGGTATGTTTGAGCTGTGAGTTAGAGACTGAGGGGCGGGGCTTGTTTGCATATTCATAGATCCACAGATACTAATTGAGGCAAAGGTGTAGAGTTACATTTTTAAGGATTATTTTTCATGGAGAAAACTTCTAAATATGTAATTCTGATGAACAGAGATGAGTTTTTAGGAGTTTACTCACTGCCAAGAGAGGAACTTTAAGATACTGTTGGTTTGCTGCTGCTCAGTTGCAGAAAAGTGTGTGTAAATAATCAATATATCTCCTAAAGGAGACGGCGATATGATGAGGCAGCAGAGTAGCATTGGACAGTTGGGACATGGTGCTGTAGCTGATGTACTCACTGAGGTTGAAGAGGCTTGTGTTGGAAGCAGGAGCGGGGTTACTGTGAGCTGAACCTTCAGAACCCAACAGGTCTCCAAACAGGTCTGGACCAGAGGCCTGCCGAGATGAACCCACGGTGGAGCTGACACCAGAGCCAGACCCCATCCCAAACGGATCAAACAGGTCGCCCATGGCTGCAGGGAGGGAGAAAAAATGCATTAACTTGAAAGTTTTCTTTTAAAACAAAGCAGTCAGCACTTATTAAGCCTCGGCCCTTACATTTTGAGTCTGATGTGGCCCCACTGGCTGGCCCACTGAAGAACAAGTCTTCCTGCACCGCTCCTGTCTGACCACCAGGGGGTGCAAACAGGTCGTTGAGGAGGTCGCTGTTGCTAGATGCAGCTTTCATTCCTCCCTGGGCTCCTTGATGAGGAGCAGAGGAGGACGATGAGGACATGGACGGGTCGGAGTTCAGTCCCAAGAGGTCAGCTGTGTCACCGACAGGAGATTCCTGGGCTGCAGGAGGGGAGGTCTGAGGGGAGGAAGGGACAACAGGAAAAGACAGAGATAATTAGAAGGGTGGAGAAAGAACATATTTTGGCTCTACTGATAAAGAAAGTCATACTGTCTCTCCCCACCTGGAAGTCAGCATCAAACAGCGGCTCGCTGGGGTCACGTGACAGTGGCTCCCCACTGGGGGCAGAATAAGAGTAGGACTCTCCTTCTGATTGATCGCTCACATCCTCCTGGTCATTCATTGATCCTCCTCCTTGACTGTCTGAGGCATCTGGAGGGCTGCCCACATCTACAAATACAGGAAGCTGCTCAGTGGATATTTTAAGACACCTGATGTTACTGTGGAATCACTCAGTGAGGGAGAGGGTGGTAAATCAAGAGGTCAGGGAATGTTTCATGGTTTGATTCCTCAGAATACTGAGGCTGCATGGGGGAAAACGTAGATGGTTTTGCCAAGAAATTTTAAAGCTAAAATATCATCACAAGAACAAAAGTGCCGTACCTTCCCAATCTAGTGTCTGGAAGAAGTTGTTGGCGTTGTTATCGGTGCTCACAGGAGATTCTGTTTCTGTTGCAGTGGAGCCTTCGGGGGTCTGAGCTGGCTGGGGTGACTCTGAGTCATAAAACGCTGAGGAGCCTGGCTGACGAGGCAGCTCGGGCTTACCTGTGGTGATTAAAGTTTCATGTTTAGTTCATACGTATGAGTAAAGTAGAGAAAATTGTAGAAAAACATGCCTCCAATGAGAAGAGAAAAGGAGAAAGATGTCGCAGTAAAGCAAACCCTAGAGCCTGGATTTTACAAAGAACTGCCACCTACCAAATTTGCTGAGGATTTCCTGCTGCTCATCGCGAGAGGAGAAAAGGATTTTGGGGTTGAGGCCCTTGGTTTGGAAGCCCTCCCAAGGAGGGGTCTTGGTGGTGGGTCTGTCTCTGGGTTCCACCTCGATGTCCAAGTTAACCTGGAACAAGTCTGGGTACTTCTCCTGGATGTCACAGGCGTCTAAGTCATATCTGATGAAAAACAATGATATGCAGCATATTTAACAGTTAATTAGAAAGCAAGAAATGTGTTGTAGTTGACATTATTGTAAAGGAAATAAAAGATCTTAAGCTCTGAGTGTCAAAGATCTTGTTTAGTCAAAAGTAATGCATTTCTGAAAATTGTGTACACACTTGGCAAACTTGACAGTGGTCGCATTTCTGGGGACAAAGCCTGTGTGGAACTGGATCTGAAACATCTTCATGGATGCCATCTGAAACAAAACATTAAATTGTTTAAGATAAGCTTTTCTGTCCAAAATGTTTTCACAGTTGATGTGTTGCACTTAAAGTGTAGCCAGGGTACTTTTAAACCTGGCCCCTATTTTCCCATGTTTTTGTGTCCAAGAGACAACAATTTTTTAAATGTACTGAGCAAGAGGGCTGCAGCCGGCAGCTGCAAAACAGGCTGCAATGTAAACACTCGGGGCATTTTACGTTCGCTGAAAGTGCTCGTTTTTGCCACTGACAGGCTTAGATTGTTATTCTATGTGTCTGACAACATTACGGAAAGGATCCCTACAGAGATAGACCTTTCTGTGACATAGTAAGATCCTTTTTAACCAGAAACAGCCCTGAATTCCTTATTGCCAAAGCCACAAGACTCAATTAAATGAGCAGAAATCATCATAAAACACACTTCATTTGAAGTCAAAATAAAACCCTTGTTAGATGTACATGTAAAAGAAATGCAGGTTCTATACACGCTTAAATTACTCGTTATTACTACTCTAGTGGGTCTGGCAATAGTAATTTTGGGGCTGTTACTGTTAAAGAAAAGGGATCTTACTCTTTAACAAAAAGGTCTATCTCTGTAAGGATCCTTTCCACAACATTGTCAGACAATTAGAATAATAATCTGAGCCCGTCAGTGACAAAAACAAGCACTTAAAGTGAATGTAACTTGATGATACAAACATGCCCCGAGTAGTTAGCTGGGTTTGCCGTGCTGTCTGCAGCCCTGTCGCTCAATACTGGATCAGTTTCAAAAACTGTTGCCTCTGTTAGTTACTTAGAACAAAATCATGGGAACAAAAGGGTCCAGGTTGAAATGTACCAAAGTTACCCTTTAATCTTGTGGCTGTGTGTACCTTGGCCTGTAGACGTCCTCCCAGTGTGGATCTTGCATGGTAGATCACCACCAGCACATCTCCTTGGACTGTCACATTGAGGGGAATCTCTGCTCTCCCATCCTCCATCTTAAAGTCCCTGTGAGGAACAAAAGCGTGAGAGAGAGAGGATGAATAATTGAAACAGCAACATTTGTTTTACTGCTTTTATCCAGGGACAGCTGACAGGCGTTTGTGTGTGTGTGTGTATGAACTTACTTCATCTTGTCGTACTCCTGTGATGTGGTGAGGACTCTCTCGTCTCCAACATAAACTTCACAGAACGGCCTGGACCCGTTACGCTGCTTGTTGAACAGCGGCACAGGTGTCATGACGATGGAGCGAATTGTTATGGGCTTGCTGTGGGGGACGATGGGCTCCTCTGCCATCATGTCGCACATATACTCTATATACCTGCAGCAATCAAGCAAAATCATTTCAATTTTTTATGATTTCTAGGGTCACATCCAAATATGACAAAATTCCAACCAGTCTGTTTTTGTACCTCTTGTGTGAGGGTGCTATACCAGGCGGGCAGCGTTTCATTGAGAACATGTAGACAGCCGCCTCAGCTGTGGTGAAAAGGCGACAGAAACACAGGAAGGAGCAAACTGCCACCGCTGATGCTGCCCTGCCATCCTGCAGAGAGAAAAGATGAAGGTGACAATTAAAGATACTGCAGGTGTTACACTCATCCTTATTTTCTCATCATCTACTTCAGTCATGACCTCCTTCCTAGAGATGTAACGATTACCGATATTACGGTAAATCTCGGTTAATTTTTACACGGTAAGAATGACCGTTTATGTTTAAATTAATTGCATTATCGCGGTGGATTATCAGGATATGTAATAACAGCCTCATTCAAGTCTCGCGATGCAGGCGCTGCGTGAATGCGCAGTATGTGTAAACACAAAGAATGAAAACATGGCGGAAGGTGGTGATAGCAGTACTCAGGACATTTCCCCCCCAACTAAACGCACAAAGTCTGAGGTCTGGGCGTACTTTGGGTTTCTGAAGAATGCCGAGGGACAGCTGGTGGAGGACAACTATCCTGTGTGCAGAACATGCAGAAAGAAAGTTGCTGCGAAGGGTAGCAACACTACAAATCTACTGGCTCATCTCCGTGACCGTCATCCACAGCTTTACAGCCAATGCAAGTGATGCCATGCAAACGTCAGTTATTGTGTGAGGGACTTCAGTTTTATTAAGATTGTCATAATGTGTAACTCTCGACGTATGCGGGACATTTGAGCCGTATCTGTCCTCCTAAACGGCGACTAGGTTTTCCGTTTTCGTTTAAGAGCTAATACTAGCTGAGTAGCTAATAGCCGTATTAGCAGCTATGTTGCGAAGTATTTCAAAACGAAATGGAGCTGAAAACACTGAGCGGAGCCGACAGAATATAAACCGACGTAACGTAACGCTAATTGAGATCAGCTATGATTGAATCACTGTGATTATGGTTATTGTATGGCGAGCTAGAATCGATATAGATGGTCAGTTATGCCTTCTCGACATAAGCTCAAGGAAAAACATAAAACGCTGCCGTGTTAACCTTTGACCGAGCGCCTTAATGGGGGCTCTCGGTTTTATAAGGTTAATTAAATTCACTGCTCACAGTCTTGACCTAACACACACACACACGAGAGCATGCACTCCTTTTCTCATACAGGTAATCCTCTGACTCACATGCACACTTCTAATGTGTCAATTATTCTGTGTAATGATGACCATTGCCCTTAGGGTTTTTTGGTTTCTCCTGCACATTTGTGATATCTATTCTATATATTGTATGTTTTTTGTTCTACTCTTGCATTGTTTTGTTTTATATATATTTTTCCTCTCCTGCTAATAAATAAATAATATATAAATTGTTTACATATTTTGCTGACTGTTAAGATGCACCAGACAAGTAAGCTTTGCTCCTGTAATTTGTTTACATATTTTGTCATTTAAAATAAAATTTTCTGTTGCTGTGCCAATCCCTTGCCCCTTTAATGTGAAAGTTTCATTTTAATATAAGATTTTGGCTGTTAACATTTTAGTATGATAAGGAAGTTACAAGATTTAGTGAAGTTAGTTCAGTGTATCTATTTTTTGGACATTTTACAGCGCTTAAAAAAATATCGCGATATTATCGTTTACTGTGATAATTTGGTCACTATAATCGAGATATCAAATTTTCCATATCGTTACATCCCTCAGAGGGACTGAGGCTTCGTTCAAATTACAGGGCTTAATGCTCAGTTACGATTTTTCCCCCCAGATCTGATCTTTCTGCCTAGACTGTTCACATTCATGTTCTAAGCAACCCATATCTGACATCAGTATGAATGGATCTCTGCCCTGACATTGTGACAACCTGGACAATTTTTCCCGGACCCACCGGAAACTCTTGCTACTCGTGGAAAAAAAAAAAAAAAAACAACCCTATATCCGTGGAGTCAAAAAGAGAGAGGCAGAGAGAGACGGCGGAGCAGTGGGCCGGTTGTGAGAGCATCAGAGCTCTGTGCGCGAAACAGACAGAGAGAAATAACGTAGCTAGGCCGTTTATGCCCCTCGTTGGCCACAATTGCCGCAACTGACATCCGTAGGCCTACTCACCTCCTCACGCCATAGATCCTCTCCTCTGGACACACACGTGGAACAAAGTACCGTGATCAGCTGATCCGGTCACATTCATACACCCTCCCAGAAAAACCCACAAAGCCTACACAGCCTGCAGCTCATGCACACACACTGACGGGAACTGTAAGTAGGAAGATGTTTTTTTTTTTTTACTTTATTGACTGATTTGACAAAAGGAACTGAATTGAAAAATGAACTCATTTGTTTTCTTTTGTTTTTGGTCAAGCAGTTGCGAAACAAAAAGAATGACATTTGTGACAGTTCCTGACAATTCGTCGTATGTTGAGGATGAGGGTGAGGCAGCGCAGGAACGCAAAAGCCATAGCTATAGCTCTATCAGCAGGTATTGCTATTAGTTCTGTGGAGGGAGAGGTGTGGGTGGGGGAGAGGAGTCAGGAGTGGTCGGGCCGCAACATGGTGGGTTTCACGAAACAGTCCTTCCAAAACTTTAGGACGTCCAGGGGCTAAATTCTAATATCTCTGTTGGCGCCTCACGACAAGGCTGTCAAGGTATAAGCTATCCCTGTCAAAAACCATCTGGCAGTTTGGCTCTATTGGATGCCTACCACAGCAGCAAAACAGCTACAGCAGCCTTCTGCAGTTTCAACTGAGCGCTCGGAAACTGTACGGAGTGTGATCTGCACCTGCACAGTAAAGTTTGACGTGAAAAAAAAATTGGGGCCACATTGCTTGTAATGTGAGTGTAGCCCAAGTCATTAGTCATCTTAGTCATCTCGTAGGTGGTGAGAAATTACTCACCAGACAGTGTACTATACAGATGTTCCGCTGGTCCTGTTTGAGCCATAGATGCATGTTCTTACACACACTGTAGAGGCTGCGGAGGTTGGGGGCACGGCGCACTTGCCAGTTACACTCTGAAACCTACACACACATACAGACACACATGAATACAACAGGAATCTTGTAAAGCTGTACACAAATGTAGGGATAGCCCTACTTTATATATTATATATTGAACTTAACAAACTATCCACTCATAGCAATGACATATCCACACTAAGACAGGGGAGTTTGGTGAAGTCACACTCTGACACACATCCACCTACAAACACATGCTTCATACCCTGTTGTGGAATCGAGAAGGCCTGTACGATCGCCTGGAGAGGTTGTAGACAGCATAGTGGCCAGCATGACGTGAATCCAGGAAGAGACGGACGTCCTCAATGTTGTTCTTTATCGCTGACTCCACCCCCTCTGCTGGGAAGGACATGACTACACACACAAATACAGAGAAAGATAAGTAAATATTACATCACAGGTTTATCCCTTTCTTGAAATGTTTAACAGTATTGAAGATATAATGTCACATCACTTTCACTTTAGCCACGTGTGACTGGAATTATCTCTGGCGCCATTTTCATCATGTAATCTACAATAATGACTTAATGACAACATCTATGCAGGTAAAGAGGGTTAAAAAGGTGCCTACCTGCTATTCTGGAGGTGATGTATGAAATATCTAGGTCCCCTTTGGCATAGCTGTAAGAGATATTACAAGCGCACTTATGAGAGGAGTAGGTAAACAACACAGTAGGGAGGACAAACACAAATCACTACAAGAAATAAAACAGTTTGACTAATATCTGGGAGACTGCACAGATACAGCCATTAACAAACAGCTGGTTCAGTAACAAGAAAGCTTCAATTACGATATACTAATATGACTCTGGATCTGAATCCACAATGCTGCAGGATGGAAATCTTCCTAATAGATGTCTGAATGGGCATCTCTGCCAGGGCTACCACACAATGCAGATTTTCAAACAGTTTCAGTGAGGGCCGTCCCACAATCATGCAAATTGTGGGGCTAAAAAAACCGTTGTCTTAATGTAGCACATGCATCTGGCAGATGCTTGTGGTTGCATGGGAGTATCATTACTGCCAATAACGTCTTGGTATATCATTATTTTTGGCAGCTATTACACGGCTTCTGATTCTGATCAGTTAGTTCTGATCTTAGATGCTTAGTGAAAGCAATAAAATCCTTTTTAAATCATTAGAATAATTTTTTTGTCAGTATTTTGTGACAATTATAGTAGCCATGTAATAAGCGGGACAATGTACAGGGAGCGGGTCATTATTGCATATTTCGCAGTGACGACCCACTCCCTGTACATTATTCCTTACTTAACTGATGTAGAGTACACTACACTGAATTTAACAGCAAACGAAATCATATTGGAACAATGACAACAGCAAAAACAATGCAATATGATTCCAACCAAATATTAGAATTGAGTACACACAAACTGTAGGCCAAGCAGAGAATTTAATCCATCTATGTTGATGACACTCAATTGTATCTGTGTGGTGTCAGGACAGACAGGTAATGCCAGTTAAGACACAGATTTAGCTGAAATGGTGATTAAGTAAGCAGTGGAGCCAAATTCACTCATCCATTCAATCAGCCATTCATAAAGGCAAGTGATTCCCAACCACGGGTACACCTGAAGTTGCCCAGGGGAACATGGAAAGATTGTAGCAATTGTAATTGTAGCAACTCAATTACTTTGGAAAAAAAATAAGGAACTTATAATTAGATTAACAAAAAAAAACTCCCAGAATGATCCATATATTATGTTCATCGGGTGCATTAAAAGTTAGAAAGTGAGCAGAGATGTTAAAACAGTTAAAAGTGATGAATAAATGGTTGAAACAGATACCTAAAGATATGGATAAGTTGTTAAAATCTACATAAATTAAGACAGATAAATGCTGAAATGGCTTTAAGTAACGGAATAGCAGTTGAAGTCGCTAAAAGTAAACGAAAGGTTTAAATAAATAGATGTATCAAGGAAGGGGTGCTTGAGTTCACCTGACAGAGCTGGGAGTACATCTGACAGAAAAGGTTGGGAACAATTAAAAGATAACTGCAATGCTTTTCAACCTGCTTTTCACACATTTTAGACTAAGTGATTAATGTTGACAGCAATTTTTGAAACGGGTCCAGTATTGAGAGAGAACGGGCTGCAATTTAATGTTATTGGGCTATTGCGCAATCTATTTACATCTACTGAAAGTGCTTGTTTTTGCCACTGACAGGCTAAAATTGTTATTCTAAGTGTCTGAAAATATCAGGAAAAAGACTGTACAGGAATAGACATTTCTGTTAACGAGTAAGGTCCTTTTAACCAGAGGCAGCCCCGAAATCGCTATTACCAAACCCACCAGACTCCATTTAAATAAACAGTAATTTTATCATTGCAAAACATACTTTAAGTCAATGGAAACAAAATAAAAGTCACAAAAATCACCTTGGTTTGTCTTTCCACTGTTCCAACAATCACCAACTCTGGTTTGGTTGAAATAAACCTTTAATTCACCCAGTTAGATGTGAAAATGTGTTGGCTCTTTACACGCTAAAATGACTCTTTATTTTAAATGGAGTTTCTGGTTAAACAAAAAGGGATCTTGCTGTGAAAAAGGCCATCACTTTGTGCAACTAAACTGGCCGATGTAACATGCTCTCTCTCTCTCTCCCAGTCAATTGACCAGTCCATGTCACTATACATACACTCATAGTAATTATTTATTTTTATAGACAGATATATTTTTAAGGTATCCCTGTTTTTTCCCTTGTTACCTGTTTGTCTATATACGAGTGTCTTTGATGGTTATGGATACAGATATATTGCATGCTGTTCATTTGTTTTGATATTTGATGTCTATTGCTTAATATATACAATATTCATTTACTATGTATTTTATATTATGTCAGAACCACATCCAACTATCCTCAAACTATATGGAGTTTGTGTGTTGATCGTGTGGCAAGAAAAAAAGGATAATTGAGACAGAAAGTGACATTTGGTTTGTTCTAATCAGACACCCTTCAGTGAAGCTGGATTTCTATACTAACCAGTTACAGCTATCGAAGTTCTACCTCTATAGGAGTTCTTTCCATAATGTTTTCAGGCACTTTTAATACCAAAAACAAGCACTTTTAGTAGATGTAATTTAACAGTGCACAAATGCCCCGAGTGGTCACAGCTCTTTTAGTCCTGCTACTGGCAACAGCGGTCTTGCTGAATACTGGACCAATTTCAACAATGCTTGTTCCTATTAGTCAATTAGACACAATGTGGGAAAATGGGGTCAAGATAGAAAAGTACCAAAGTTACCCTTTAATAAGGCTATGGATAAGGCTGTCTGCTTTAGAAAACTTAAAGCTGTTAAACCCTTTTCTCATTATCATTATATGACTGTCATTATATGACTGGTATAACACAGGCGGCTAAATTAAAAATAAGTCATTGTCTGAAGCAGGTGGTTTAATGCACCTTTCAAACAAAGTGTATCATTGCTACACCACCAGCTCTTTAATCTCTAACCTCTTATTGACTGGTCCATTAATTTCCTGTACCATGCACAGAGAGTATGTTCCGGTTGTTCCGTCTTTTGCAGCTATCATTTTTCTAATCATCTGACCCTTCCATTCACTCTTCAAATGATACTCATCTGTCCATTCACATGACGCTCTGCATTCATGCAACTGAATTATTGAATGTGTGATGTTAGGATCAGCAAGCTGTGATGGTGGACACGGCACAGCAGAAGGCTTAGTAGGGTTTCTCTTCCTCTAAATCAAACACAGACTACAGGAGCACACAGAGCAACGCATGAGCTGACGCACTTCACTGACCCATATTTACCTTGGGTTGCTAGGTGATGGACACATAGTGGGACCATGAGGGGTTGGGACAGAGAAAAGAAACAACAAAAAATAAACAAAACGACTAAACAAATGGAACAAACCGATGAGAGAGTAACCAAATGAAACATCAAACCTGAACGGACATGGGTAGAGTTAAAGGAACACTTTGCTTATATCAGTCATAGAGGCCACCTGTCTGTGACATCAACAGTCAATGTCAATGATTGCTGCAGCCAAGTGGAGCAGACTAGATTACTCCCACCATCCACTGACTTACTCGCCTGCCAGCTGGTGAGCTAACTACAAAGACAGATAACTGCCAGAGTGTCAGAGTGGAGAAGCACATCTCAGACAGCCAGGCAGCAAAATGTTCCTTTTAAAAAGGTAAAACTGGGGGGCAGGGTAGGTGTGAGTATAAATGCTTACAGGGACGATTTGCAGGTGGACAATTATCAACATTTACTTCAGGTTGATGCGACTGTGATGAAACATGATGACTGATAATTGACCATGAGTGCATACTTTCAGTGCGCTAAATTTAAAGTCTACAGTCAGCTGATTTTTCACCATCATCAAATTGCATTTAATGATTACTAAAGCAAACATGGTGGTGGAATTGCCTTATTTAGAAAAGTGGGCATATGGGAGGTTGCAGTAGCTCATGCAAAATGTGAAAGGTTTAACTTAACTTTCAGGCAACTTTACAGGCTGGCAACTTAAAAACAATGTGGCTCATGAGATCAGTTCAGCAACACATGCCCTTATTATGCCAAGTGAGCAAAGAACCGACTGTCAGGCTGAATGAATAAAGCATGAGTGCTAACATAACTGTAATGACAATAAAGATTAACTGAAAATGGGATATGGATAAATACAACAATGACAATCATTGCAACAGGGTTGAAGCATCTTACCTGGCTACTGACTGGATGACCTTAGAGGAAGTGTCCTTTATGTTGGTCAGGAAGCGCTCGGTTCCTCCCCGTAAGATATCAAAGAGGCCGCTGCCCGCCTGATCAGGATCGTATATGCCTGTAGGTGTTGTCGGGGAAAAGAGAGAATGCAAAATATGACAGATTTGCAGACACTGTCATAGCACTGGGTCGCAGTTTTACCTTCCCACCCATCATCTAATCAGGGTTCCCACACATTTCAGAACTATTCCATGACTTTTCAAGTACCCATAATAAAATATTCACGAGCATTCACAACATATAACAGAAACACTGCTTCATGTAAAGAAAAGGCTTTACAAAGGTAGTAGTGGGGCATAGAGTAGGTGTGGAAACCCTCATGACCCTACATGTTAACTCACACTGTCACAACATTATTTTTCCTCTTTCTTCTCTTATTCAAACATATCAGATTAAAACTGTATTCAAATATAATTCTAGCTAGCATGCATATATTGAGGGAGAAGCTCACTCACGATAAATGCTTTTACACACGCACACACTTCACGACAATAAAAAGTGGTAAATACATTGGATAGAATCAGCTGCTTTCAGCTGTGGTGGAGCTGCCAGATGTTGAGATACAACAACAGGCAGAGGACTCAGGCTGACCCAACATCATCGGGTCAAATAGTGTGAATGGACAGAAGGACTGCAGCCGCTCCTCAACAGAGAGAGAGAGCAAACATCTTCTGCCTTTCGACAGATGGTTGGCTGTGCATAAATCCTCTTAATGAACGGTACACAACCTGCACGTGTGCGTGTGTATGCGTATGGTTGTTTGTGTGAAGAGAAAAGCCTATTATGCTTATTTGGAAAAAAAGGTACAGACAAACGACAGAAATATAATTTTGTCACAAAGTTCTTCCTCTTAATCTTAATTCAAATATCCTAAAACAGAAGAATGAGCCATTTTTCGAGCTTGTGTACTTTGCCTCAGCCTCTTCAGACATACTGAAGGGTACATATGAAAACACTCACAGTCATAGTGCCAAATGCAAATATGTGGTCTGTGGCTGTAAAGTTTGTTTCTCTAACACCTATTTTGGCAGGTAATCAATCCTGTGAGTGCTCTTTTCTATTCTGCTACAGATTAATACTAGAAAACCATATAAACTGAGCAAGCCGGCTGTACCTCACTGAACATATTGCACAAGCTACACGAGAGCCTTTTGGCCTCGGGTTTACACTCAAGATCAAACAAGGTTAGTGGGTTACAGAGTAACTAGAATACGGTGCTTACACATGGAAGCAGTGACTGGAACCAAACTATACTGCTCTGTTACTGCTTCGTAATGACTGAGAAATGCGAGATGGGAAATTTATGATGATTCTATAAATCATCATCAAGGCTTATATGATAATTTCTCAAACATTTGAGGATCTGGGACTGATCTACTGACTGTTGGTCATGACCCCACTTACTCCTTAGGAGGCGGAGACTTTTTTTTTGTTAATGTGGTCACAGTAAATTAACCAGATTACTTATTACCATGTGTGACTCTCAGTGATATGGGTGGGGTCTTGGGAGTGTGGATATGTGAGGACAAGTGTCCCTGGCTGATTAGAGATGAGGGATGGCTTAATCACACTGAAAAGGCATAATTTAGCCAAAAAATTTTAATCTATGCCTTTTTTTTTAGTAAAAGTAAGCAATTATTTTTCAAGCTTGTTAAAGTGCAGCATAGCAAATCTATAGCTCTGCTAAAGGTCCCTTATCGGGTTATAAGATGTTCTTCAGCAAGTCAATGAGCTGCTAAAATTTCACTTTTGGAAGCAAAACACTGACATGACGCTACTGCTCTGTTTTAAGAGAGGTTTCAACTTCACACCTCCCCTACCTTTATGTGTAAACACTTCACGAAAGGGACAACAAACACAAACCTGCAATCTCTCTAACAAACACTGTCCCAAACCCACATTGAGCGTAATATTGTCATGCACACAAACCTTTACCTGCATTGTTGTGGACGTTGTGGATCTGCATGGGCGGCTGGGCTCCGTTGTTGCCAAAACCTCCGTTCTGCTCCAGCAGCTGCAGACATTCATAGCCGTCAAACACTGGACGCCAACAGTAGTACGCACTCAACATTGTTACAGGTAAGTCAACAAAATACGGACTAAGTTGACAGTAGCCGGGAGCTATGCTTTTGCCTACGATGATCAAAGCAGATTGTCCTTCAAAATGCAAAAAATGGTCATTTAAATTTTTTTAAATAATGCCAAAAATTGCAAAAATTCCCAGATTCGTCCCAGAAAAGAAACAAATTGGCCACGACCACAAATACAGGAACAGAAAAACAGCACCAATCAAATCCTGATTGTTAAGCAACAGGTCTCCTTTCTGTCCCTTATGTGCAATCCCCAGTGCAAAGGAATCCCAAAAAGTAGCACAATCGTAACACTTCAGCTGAAAAAATAGTTTGTGTCAGAAGCTCGATAAAACTATTTTCAGATGACTCCTGGAGTGTCTGTGTTAAAGGCAGCCAGACAGCCTCTGCGTTTCGCTTCCCCTCTGAGTTGTCTACCGCATTTCCCTCTCAGTATTTCACTTCCATCTCTGCTCCCTTTCCTTCACAAGTTTTCTGCTCTCCCTCCTCTCTGCTCCATCGCACAGTCTGCCTCTCCATATGTCTGTGCTGTGAAGCAGCAGAGAGAGGAGGAGGAGGGGGAGGAGAGGAAGAAGAAGAAGAAGGAGGATTATAATCTCCTTATGTCCAGCAGGGAAACCCCTTCTTAACCCTAATCAGATCAGCAATTGCTAAATCTGCCCTCACTCTGCACATATTTACCGGCCTTATCAAGATGCAGTTTGGTAAAAAAAATTGGTTGGGATACAGAAGAACCCAGTGCTTCAGTTTACTGATTTGTTCTGAGCAATGGAATTATCTGAGAATACGATGGCAGAAGTGAGTGTGTGCAGTACTAAAGCACAGGAAAACAGGTGGTAACCAGTGTACGATTTCCAACTACAGAGAAAATACTTAAATATTCTTACTTTAATTGTGACAGAAACATAATTCAGGATAAGTACACTGGCTCAGCTCTACGTATGTCAGTCAAGGGTTCATTGCACACCAGGACGTTGGTGGAAGAAATAAGAATGAGTGTAACTCTGGAGATTTCTGACACTGAAATCAGCTTTTCATACTCTTAAATCACAACTGCGGCTGTGGATTTGGTGATAAGTACCAGGATTTGTGTTAAGAATCATAAGAGGCTGTGGCTACTTAGTTGGTCATGGCCAGCCACCATGCAGGATAAAATGCTTATCTATCCAAAAACCTTGGCAAAAATCTCAAATCTGATTAGCTGCTGTGGGTGGTAGATACAAAGAAAAAAAACAAAAAAAAAAAACAAAACAAAAAAATCCCTCTTCTGCCACCCCAAAATACTGCTTTATGACTGAAGTGTTGATATCACTTCAGGTCCCAGTTGCACCCATTTTCCACCTCTACATGTCTCTGTCTCTTTGGACCCACTAGGACCAAGCCAGCTGGGAGCAGAGGAGCCTGGGAAAGAGAATACAGACTCCTTTGAGCCTGCCTGTGTGTGTGTATGCGAGCGCGTGTTGGTTGCATTTGAGAGTGAGCGTGTGTAACCACACCAGCAATTTGAGAGAACGAGTGTGCGTGCATGTTTACACACACACAGTGGAAGAGGCCGTGTGGTCGGCCTGTCAATAGCCTCTCAGACACCGAGGATGTGCCCCTGTGTCTCCGCAAATCAACTTGTTTACGCCAAACTGCACTCGGGGAAAGTTGCCACTCTACCTAATACCTCACGCAGAAGCAACTAGACAGTCAGAGATAAGAGAACAATTTCAAATGCATTCTCATTTGTCTCTTGGCGAGGAGAACAGAATAATTTATCAGCCGCAGGCATAATTTGCCTCCATTTCCCTGGTGATACTCTCTGAAAATCTGCTATCTCTTTGTTTTAACCAAGACCCAGTGACTTTCACGTCAAGATAAGGGCTTGAAATATAGCACCAAAAACAGCAGCATAACAGCACAGCACAGTAAATATCTGTGTGCTAAGGATAACATAACTACTTGATGGTGAAAAGATTTGGAGGAGTTTTACTGCAGTGTCACTTCTAAAAGGGTAACTGGTATTTTTTTAACCTGGACTCTATTTTCCCAGTTTTGTTTGAAAGTGACAGATGCAAACAATTCTTGAAATTAGGCCAGTACTGAGCAAGATTGCTGCCGGCAGTGGCTTAATGGGCTGCAATGTTGTGCACCGTTAATTTACATCCACTAAAAGTGCTTGTTTTGCCAATGATAGGCTCAGATTGTTGGTCTTATTGTCTGACAACATTATGGAAAGGATCCCTACAGAGACAGACCTTTTTGTTACAGAGTAAGGTCATTTTTGTTTAACAAGAAACAGCCCCTAAATTGCTATTGTCAAAGCCACCAGACTCCATTCAAATAAACGCTAATTTTGGTGTGCAAACATCCAGCATATTTTCACATCTAACTGTGTGAATTTGGGGTTTATTTCAACCAAACCAGTTGGTAATTGTTAGAACAATGGAATGACAACCTGAGATAGTTTTTTGAGTTGACCTTTATTTCCAACAGCTCTGAATGAAGTGTGTTTTATGATGCTAAAAATACTGTTTGTTTGAATGGAGTCTGGTGGTGAAAGGGTCTTTCCCATAATGCTGTCAGACATAAAATATAGAATAATAATCTATAGCTACCTCTGATGACCCCAATTAGCGTTTACCCTCGCAATGGTGCCAACTTTCACTCACAATCTCAAGTATATGCAACAACAACTGACCACTTAAACTACACCTCGATTAAGGTTAGGTTAAGTTTTTTCCCCGTTAGTTTCTCCTCTCCTCTCCCATCAAAATGAGGGAGTAGGGGGAGGTAGATTGTATGGCCCGGTCTGGCGGGGGGGAGTTCAGTCCGCACAGACATCTCTCCTTGGCTCTCTCCTATGCTCTTTCTATCTACCTATGCTCTTTTCTACCTTTCTATCCATCTAACCCTTTGGCTCCCACTCAGAAACCCCAAGACGGCACTATCACTCCCACTGACAGTCTCAAGTATGTGCATCCAGGGACTGTAACATCTAGTCCTAAACTGAACTGAACAGTGGACGTAAATTGCGCAAAGTGCACACATATCACTGCTGTTTACCTTGCTGGACCAATTCCCAATCACATAAGTAATTTAAACACAAAAAAACATGAAAAAATAGGGTCTGGGTTGAAAATACACCAAAGTTACTCTTTGAATCTGGAGACAGTATTTTCTTTACAGCACTGAACACAATCATGCACACACTGACCTCTGTAATGGGAGACTTGGGGTTGACGTTGCGTGCTGCTGCTATCTCCTGGAGCTGGTTGACCAACTCTGTAATGGACAGACGCTCCTCTGGGTTTACCTTCAGCATGGAACCTGGACACCAGGAGGAGGAGGAGGAGGGAGAGACAAAAATATAGAGATGTATCAAGGAAGGAATTCTTGAACTAGACAACAGTAATATCATTTACCAAATTATGTAAATCAAGGATATATATAGTAATTAGTTACCTAAGGTGAATAATCCAAATAATAAAAATGCACTACATTATTTATTCTGTTGAAGTTTATCATTACTTATATTTTTGTGGCACTGTTAGCAGGAAATAGACAGATTTACATGATCCACCAGGTGGAGCTGTTTAGTCTAATGAGATCAGCCATAACAAGGTACATTCTGTACCGCCAGCATTCCACGAGTCATGGCATTTCTCTGTACCATGTCTATGTGAACACTATGTTTAGGGGTGCAATCTTCAACATACTTCTGTCTCACAAATACAGTAAATTTGAACTGTGGTGACAAATGAGACTTGTGGGCAGAAGCAGAGGAAAACAGAGTGCTGGATGAATAAAAGATCAGACAGGCAGAAAGACACAAAGCGAAGGTACATACGTATGAGGTTGTGATACACAGTATATTTGACGTCGTTCTGAGGAATGGAGTATTTCCCATTGACGATTTGCAGCTTGGCCCCCTCCTCGAATGGGTGCTGCTTAAAACACAGCAGGTAGAGGATGCACCCTAGGGCCTGTGTGAGAGAGTGGAAATAATAAAGACAACAATAAACTCTCAGGCCACTGAGGAAACGAAAGATGTTGACACAAAACACTATCAGGAGGCAACCTGCTGTGTCCAAACAACTAAGACAAAGGAATATCTACAGTTTGTTAATGATCCTACAAAATAAGTTAGCTTTTAGATTATTTTTTATTACACTCAGGATTCTTTAATTATCTTGGATTAGCTGTGAAATTGGGGGACAGAAAATAAAAAAGGAAAAAGCTCCGACCCAGATGTCCTGTTTCTCATTGATGGGGAAGTTGGAGTAGAGATCGATCATCTCTGGTGTTCGGTATGCTGGAGTGGTGTTCCTTGTGATCTACACACAAACAGAGAAAGAACAAAGAAAGTTAATGCACACACACACACAGCTGTCGGAGCACTGTGGGGTGCTGCGGTCGATAAAACCAGAGCATCTATCCAGCAATAGTCACATGTTGTAAATCTTGGTGAATCTAACTTCATCTGCGTCATTGTTGTTTCTCTGAGAAAGAAGGAAAATGCTTTGACAACCTTGGATTTTTGAGAGCTAAGCGTGAATCAAAAAACAAATTATTTCAATCTAAACTAAACACCTGCCCACCTCAGATTTTCCATCATAAAAATCCTTCCCTGAAGCATCTTCTTTTGTGCTACGAGAGTGAGGACAGGTGCCAGATACACGGCAGATTATTTCATTTAGAAACCAGGGTCTCTGGGGTCCTGCATGCTGAGGTCATCTGTGGCAAAGCTCCTGTGTGCGGGTGTGAGTGTGTGTCCCTGTGGTTATTATGGCAGAAATATAATTAACCTGATTGATCAGCGCTTCCTGACCCTCAGCTGTTAATCCAATCATAGGTTTCTGGTTTCCGTCCAACACAGTGACGTCAGAATTGTCACAGATCCCCTTTTTTCCTCTTTTAATTGAAATATTAACTTTCATAGACGGATTAGAGACTATAATGTGCATTGCAAGAAAACTAGCTGTGTCTTTTGTTATTTTATTCAACAAATAAAAACCATTAGTTACAGAAAAAAAGGGTTTGTGTAGTGTGAAGTGTTAATTCAACCACTCAGCTTATTGTCTGTGAAGCAGCAGAACTTAAAGCATGCATTAAAGACATTTGGTATAACAATCTTGTCAAAATCACGCACATAAAAGAGAAAATGGATTCAGTTATAAATGCAGACATTTTCTGGAACACACTATTTCTAAACCAGTCGTTCCTAACTGGTGGGTCGTGGTCTAAAAGTGGGTCGTGGGTCCATTTTGAATGGACTGCAAAAGACAAAACACAGTTTACTTTGGAGTGCAGTGAATTTTTGGCAGACAGCTTTCATTTTGGAGTGCAGTTTCCTGCTGTAGAGTGAGTGTTTAACAGACAGTTACTTAACAGAGACAGCAAACTAGCTGGACGACATGGTCGAATTCAAGTATGAAGCTGAACTCATTAAACTGTGTGGACCTTGAACTAACGACTAAGACGAAATCTGGACCCTGTGGTGTGACCAGTTGGGAACCACTGTTCTAAACACTTCATATTTTTAAGTCTCTGCATGTAAAAACTGTATTATATAGATTATATCAATATTATTAGGAAGAAGAAAAGGGATTTTGTGTATGATACAGAGGAAACATCTTCAATTCAATAGTTTTCAATCAATTAGTCCTTTTGTGTTCATTTTTGAGTGTGTTCATACATGATAACGTAACTATGGTAATTCTATTTTCTCTTCTTGTTTTTAACTTTACTTAAGTGATACTTCACGTCATGCTGACCTGCCTGCTTCCAGCTGGCTACCTGAGGCTGGTGCTATGTGAATAGTGAAATCGTGATGAGAAAAATAAAGTCGTTTTCCCCTCAAAGCTTTTGACAAACTGCCAAAAGTTAAACGTGTTCCTCAGGCTACCTTGTGTACCACAAACAATCACAGCTGCTCGTGATGGAGACAGAAAATTCATGCCAACGTGGAAGCCGATCGTCGAGTGGATTTATAATGCCCGGTCACGTGATAAGCACTGAGTGCTTCACTTGAAAATATACATAATGGACATAAAACAGATCTGATTCAGTTGTAAAACTTTAAATCATATAATCAAGTAAGATTTTAAGAGTTGCAGCAGAGTGAAGCGTAAATAGAAAGTTTCAGACCTGTATCAGGAGGTCAGAGTTAGTTAAAGGCTACAGTGAGCAGATACGTTTTTAGCTTTCTTTAAAAATATCTCGAGAGCTAGCTTCCCTGATATCTATAGGTAGTGTGTTCCATAGCTTTGGGGCGTAATTGACAAAGGCTGCAGATGATCACAGTGTTCTTGGAGGCAAATAGTTAACATGGGAGTTGGCAATGTAGCGTGGTCCCAGCCCATTTAGGGCTTTGTATACAAGGAAGAGGACCTTAAAATCAATTTTAAATGCAACAGGAAGCCAATGCAGAGCAGTTCAGACTGACCTGACGTGATCTCTCCTCTTGGTTCTGGTAAACAGCCAAGCTACAGAGTTTCAAATGAGCTGAAGTCTCCCAGTTTGGTAAATAGTGAAGCTCTCACTTTTATTACTTAATATCCATGGCATAAATGTATGCCTACACAGGTCAATTAGACATGAAAAATAATGTAAAATCGATTATAACAATCATCCGCTCAGAGTGATCAATTTGACCCGGACAGCTGTGATCCCTATAATGGTTTCCACTGTATAAGAAAGGCCCTGTTGAGATTAACCTTAACTGATGTTTGAGTGTGTGTGTGTGTGTGTGTGTGTGTGTGTGTGTGTGTGTATGTGTGTGTGTGTGTGTGTGTGTGTACCTCATCCTCCACCATGGACCTCTTCTGTGCCGACCAGCTGTAGTCGGGGTAATGTGACACTGTGGTGGCGCTGCCAAAGTCACACAGCTTGATGGTGCCCTGGTTACTAATCAAGAGGTTCTCAATCTGCAATGTATCAAGTAGGCAGTGAATTAGCTTGTCAATCAACACACATTTAATCATCAATTAGCAATCATAACAGTCCCTAACTTGTGCTTTAAATGTATTATTCATATGGTACATATGTAGTAAACTTCATACAAAATTCACTCTTCCAACTTCTTAAGAACAACAAACCTTGAGGTCTCTGTGTATGATTGGAGGCTTCTGTTTGTGCATGTGCTGCACGGCGCGGCACGACTGGTAGAAGATTTTCAGCACAGTGTCACATGACAGGAGGGCCCTCTGCTCCACCCGCTTTATAAAGTCCACCAGCTGACCTGAGGCACAAGAGATACGAAAACAGATGAATCAATGAAAAGCCACCAGTCAAAGTGAAAGTAGCACCTGACAGATGCCTCTTTTGTCTGTTGATTGTAAGTTGTATGAATAATTCTGGAAAAGTACCAGATACTTTCAAGGGTAAGGTTGCTTACAAAGCTGAAAAAACTGCACAATGAAAACAAAGCTAGTTGTAAATGAAGAGTCTGACTGAACAGAAAGGAAGTAGAGCAGGAAGTAGAAAGACCGCAGACGGGAAACTGTTTCATCACAAGTGCCTTTCAGTTACGAGGGAATGGTCCTGACTACTCAGATTTACTGCAGTTTGGTTACATTATTCCATTTCCACAGAATCAGTAGTGACGAGGTACATGAAGATGAGAGCTAAAAGATAAAGAGTAAAAAAGTATATAAGTACGTGTGTAGTTACCTTTACACAACTCAGTGAGGATCAGGAACTCGGCCTGCCCGGTGTCGGACTCCTCCTTACTGATGGAAGCAGCAGAGCAGAACTGAACCATGTTGGGATGACCCGACAGCTTTTTCTACAGAGCAAACAGGTCAAGGAACATACAGTATAGACACTAATGTGGTGTCAAGCCTGGCCTCAGATCAGTCAGAACAGGAATCTTACACAGAAATCACTGAAGTCCTGTGATGACACAGCTCGTCGAATCTACCAACCACTTTGGAGGGCGTTCTGTATGATAACGATCAAAATGACTGATTAAACGATGAGTTCAATGACTCATTGTGGCTACTGATCTTCAACGATTTGACCTGACCTACTCTGCCATCTACTTTTGATGTACGGCCAAGCAAAGCCTCAAAGGAGCGATTGTATTCTGAAACTGTAGTTTAGCTTGGTGGTCAGACAGCGAGAGCAGGAGGAGATTGCGGTTGGGTGATCGCAAGAATTCACTGATGACTTTACACTTTATTTTTCTGACTCATCAGCATTCAGGGCGTTGCACATTATGTAAATTATCAAGCCCTAAAAACACAATGTTGCAATGGTACCGGGAACACAGGGCTTCGTTTACCAAAAGCCTGTGCTTCCACAATGTGCTACACAGCATGAAACAACTATTGCCAAACAGCACAGGAGATGTCCCAGCATTTTTAGCTGCTGGTCAAAAGGTTCGTTAGTTCCCCTCACTGACTCTGTCTCATTGATAAAAACTGTAGCTCAAAACAAAATGTCTCCAGACACATTGAAATGCAGTGGAGGCAGTGATTTGACATTTAGATGCACAGAGGTATCTTTAGATGATCTCATTCCTTCTGGCGACTACTGAATAACAAATCTGTGAGTGAAACCCCTCCAGAATTATTCATTTTCTACCCTGCTGATCACTTCTTCTCAAACAAGAAAGATATTTTAATGAAGAGTTAAAGAGGACAAGCTTTTAAAAGGAGACCTATTCTGCTCATTTTCAGGTCCACACATGTATCTTGGTTTTCTACTTAAACTATATGCAAGTGGCTTCTACTTAATCATCAAAAAACACTATTGTCCTCATACAATCTTTGCTGGAACTCCTGTATTCCCCCTCTGTCCAAGAAGACTTTGTTTTAAGCGCCTGTCTCTTGACCAAAAAAGCATAGTGTGCTCTGATTGGTTGGCGTTTCCAGGTCTTCTGTATTTTGGTGTCTCTTCACTGTCATTGCAACTGAAAATGACTGTAACTGACAACAGCTGCACTTTTTACCATGAAAAATCGGCAATTAAAACCTTTAAACACAACTGGACATGTTCCAGCAGAAAATCAGAGAGAACGTTAGCATGATGCTACATGTAGCAGTGAACTTGCAATGACTGGGAACTTGCAATGACAGGGAATGACTGTGTGTGGTGGCACTTTTTCACATCAAGACTCACCAAAAAAAAAAAAAAAAAAAAGCATTTGAACACAACTGGACATGCTCCAGCAGGAATATGAGCTGAAATCAAGGAAAATATAGCCCTCCATGATTACAGTTTACCCCAAACGTTAGCGTGTTGCTACATGTAGTACTTTAGGCCAGTGATTCCCAACCTGTCCAGCCACTGGGTCCAAATTTCTTCTCAGTCATTAGTTCAAGGTCCACACAGTTTAAGATATTACTATTATATATACATATTATATTTATATACTTGCGTTCAGCCATGTTGTCAAGCTAATTTGCTGTCTCTGTCAAGTAGCTGCCAGTTAGTCACTCGCTCTACAGCAGGAAACGGCAATTCAAAATAAAAGCTCTGTGCTGGAAATGAGCTTTACTTCAAAATAAGTGTGTTTTTAACAAACTTAACACATTCGAGTCACTTCCGGTCCATTCAGAAGGGACTTGTAACCCACTTTTGGACCACGACCAACCAGCTGGGAAACACTGGTTTAGGCTACATAAGGTAAACACTGGTTGTTGCGTGCCTGGAGCAGGTGACCATATAAAGAAATCCATCATGACCTGATCTTTACTAAAAAGTACGACATCTATTGCACGTCTGTCCATCCTGGAAGAGGGATCCCTCCTCAAATGCTCTTCCTGAGGTTTCTGCCGTTCTTTTCCCCTGTTAAAGGTTTTTTTGGGGGGAGTTTTTCCCTTATCCGCTGCGAGGGTCCTAAGGACAGAGGGATGTCGTATGCTGTAAAGCCCTGTGAGGCAAATTGTGATTTGTGATATTGGGCTTTATAAATAAAATTGATTGATTGATTGATTGAAAAAAGCCCAACTTGCTCTGACTGGTCAGCGTTTCCATGTCTTCAATATTTTGGCGTCTCTTCACCGTCATTACAGCCAGGGAATGACGATGAAGAGAACTGAAGAAGAGCTGCACTTTCTAGCGTGAAAAATCACCACATAAAGCTTCTTAACACCACCACACATGTTCCAGTTGGACTATGATTGAAATCGAAGAGAAATTAACGACATCAGCATCCAAGATTACAAATGTCCCTGACGTGAGCATGTTGCTACATATAGCAGTGTGCTTGCAGTCAGCAAGGGACTGTGTGTGGCAGCAGTCTTTGCGTTAAAAATGACCCAAAAAAAAAAAAGCATCTAAACACAACTAGACATGTTCCAGCATGAGCTGAGATTGAGGAAAAATTAAAAACACAGACAACCACAATTACAGGATTCCCTAATGTCAGCATGTAGCTACATGTAGCAGTATAGGCTACGTAATGCAAACACTGGTTGTAGTGTGCCTGGAGCAGTTGGCCATATAAAGAAATCCGTCACGATCTGAGTCATCTCGTAAATAAAAACTCGGAAACAGTATTCAGAACAGTAGGAAGCCTGAGGTGTTTGCTCACAGGGATTACTTTTACATACATTTACCTCATTTTTCTGGACTTTGGCTACATTAAATATGAACATCCAATATTGTAACATTATATATATATATATATATATGGAGGAAAATAAGTAAAAGCATAATAGGTCCCATTTGAAAGATCTTATTCATCCTGGCAACCCCAGAATAACAAATCTGGGAATGAAACCCCTTTACACTCATTAGTTTTCTGTCCCGTTCGTCACTTCTTCTCAAACAAGAAACACACTGGAGTGCTTCAAGAAAAATTCCCAAATGACAATGACATAACAGTGTGTGCTTGTGAAACTACAACATTATTATAAAGTTAAAACACTGTAAATATATATTAGTTCCTGTAGTGCGCATTCTGGCGTGATGTGGTGTTGCCTGTAAACTAAAAGTGATCTAGTAATGACAGCACTCTATGCGGGAGATGCATTCCACAATCTTGTGAAGTCATGGGTTGGACATTAACTTGCCTTTGTCACATGTTACCCTCTGCTGTGTGCTAAAACAGAAACGCTCTGTACTGATCATGAAAAAAAGAGTGTCTTTTCATCATGGTCTGGAAATGATAAAGGATACCATGAAGCAGACTTCCTGTATGATTTCCTTGTTCTTCTCTTCCTCATTGGAAAGCAGCCTCTGAAACAAAAGCAAACAGAGACCATTGATTTGCTGTTGTTCTGTGATCCAATGAGACATCATCTTTTTACAAGAAATACCTAAGAGCACAGAACGAACATATTCCATCAATAAAAAGTCTGTACAATATTTACTTTGAAGGTGAGGAAAAACTGATTGTGCCAAGTCAAACAAGATAAGAGATTATCACATTAACTGCTCCTGCTGATTATAGTGACTGGCGAAGTGAAGTTCAATGGCCACTTTTACAAGTGGTGTCTCATTTCACAATTCAGTCCAGACAGAACCCTACAGGGGATGTATGCAAGCAAGCACAATCCAAACATGACCAGTATTTAGCACATTCATGTTTTTTTCCTCAACCATTCCCATTCAATCGATGCAGCTGTTGTAGGGCAGCATGCTTCACCTTGTTCTCTCATGTGCATTTATCATTTATTTCTCCTGCATTATTAATGCTGATAGTTAAAATTGCCAAACCTTTAAACAAAAAAGCAGCTTCTCTGCAGTGTTACGAAAATGACACCACTGAATCTATTAGCTCAAAGTCTTCTGAAGAAATTCCAGTATCTTCAGTGTTTAATTTAGTTGAGAAATGCATGAGTACACATACAACATGGACAGAATTCTAAAGCATGGAGCAGATGGTCGCCACATAATGAAAACTGTGCCATAAATCTTTGAGCTATGTCGTTCTCCACTAAACAACTTGCACAAGGAATGTTTCCTGGGCAGTACGATTGATAACATAGCAGAAGAAGTAGCTTCAGTAGAAGTATAAAGTACAAACAATTTTATAATATGTGCATCGTGTCTAAATGTATGTGTAGTGTTTTACTGTGCAGGGCCACATCCACTTGAATGTTCCGGTCCAGTCTTATGTAGTAATGCAGTGCTGCATTCAAGGCACTGACTGGTATTTTCTAATAATATGTAGTATTTACTGCATATTACAGGACAGAGCTAATAGTCCTGACTCAGTTTATCATTTATAGACAATGCCATTCCTACTAACAAATGACTGACTGAAGACATGATGTTTTTCAGTTCAAACTACAAACTTCACTTGTCAAGGAACAGATTTGCCAAGCTGTTTCCTGAATTTGATCCAACCTGTGAACAGTGTAACCAGGACCCAGCAACTCTTTTACACTCATTTTTGGTATGCCCAAGGATGGGACAATTTTGGCACAAGATTATGTTTTTAAAGATTACTTTTTGGGGCTTTTTTGGCCTTTAATCGATAGGATAGTATCAAGTGTGAAAGGGGGAGAAAGACAGAGGGGACGACATGCAGCAATGGGCCGCAGGCCGGAACCAAATCCACGGCCGCTGCAGCAAGGACACAGCCTTTTGTACATGGGGCGCCTGCTCTACCCACTGAGTCACCGGGCGCCCCGAGACAAGATTTTTGAGACATGTTTTTACATGTGTAATAAAACCATAGACCCCAAGCCGCAGTTGGCAATATTTGGTGATGGCCCGAAGAGATCTGCGTCTCTCCTGAGCCCAGACCCGTGCTTTGGCCTTTTCATCATTGCTAGCCAGATGTTTCATTCTGTACAACTGGAAGTCTAACCTGCCTACCTCTGTTTGGTAGCTGGGTCAATGAGGTCATGGCTCACTTGAAGTTGGAAAAGCTCAGATATACCACTCAAGGACCAGTCAATGAATTCCATACAGTATGGCAACCATTCCTGGACTATTATGATAATGTCCATACTTGTCTTACTTACTATACTTGTCTTTTCTATAGCTGTTAATTCACTTGCAATACCCAAATATTATCATCAGTCTATCTTGACTCTGTATATTTTGCATATCCATGTGTCTGAAGTGTATTTAGCAGTGTTCATTTGCCTGTGCAGGCCAGCCTTGGGGAGGGGTGGCGTGGGTTTGGATGTTGTGGGTTCAGAGTGTACATTCTCCATGTTTCTTGTTTTTTTGGTTGTTCTAATAAACCAATACAAATAACTGAATAATAATAAATGAGTGGGTGTGTAATATTGAGTGGTACAGCCAAAATGTTAAGAGTGGCTCAGCGTGTTACAGTCTTACCTTGAGGGCATAGTCTTTACCAGTACTCATATCCTGAGCTTCATACACAAAGGCAAATCCACCTGAGGACAAAACAGAGAGCAACCAGCATGTTATTTACACTGTTTACTAGTAATTACATCTACATAATTATAATTATTACATGGACTCTTTAGCTCTTAAAATAACACATAATCATCAATCTCTGATGTGCACTGTATTGCGGAAATTGTGCAACACAAAGCAGGATGTGTTGTAATTTGTTCTACTGTCTTGAATTAATGTTGAATTTTCTATGGCGGATTTGTTCTGGTACGATTAGTGTACTTAAATGTGTTAAAGTGGTGTACACTTCTGCAGAGGGTCACAGAGGCAGCTCAATCATCAGCTGCCCTCTGCTGTCATGGAAGACATCTCCAGCTCACGGTGCCTCTGTAGAGCCAGGAACAACATCAGAGACCATTCTCACCCTGGACACCACCTGTTCAACCTGCTGCCCTCTGGGAGGCGCTTCAGGTGAATAAAAAGGCGGACAAACAGGCTAAGGACCAGTTTCCTGGGCCATTGGAAATCTTAACTCCCACACACATCATAGAGAATAACCATCTGCTGACCACTTTACCCTTTAACTCCTAACACTGAAATCCAATGTACTATATTGTCTGTCCTTAATTAGACTTATTACTTGCATTAATTGCACTGACCAGGAGTAGCACTCCTTATTTTTAACTGTACTCAAATATTTCAGGGAGAGTCTTCCATTTGAAGGTGGATATAGGCCTACCACCAGCGCATCACACATCCAACTCCACTCCACAGCATATTGAATTCATTAAGTTTCACTTTACGGCCACAGAGAGCACTAAAACCTCCAGCAACGCCCTGCCTCACACACATACCTAAAAATTAACCTGGAAGCTGCCAAGTATAACCACAGTCTTATCTGTTGGCCACTGGGCAGCCACATTGGAAATGTAGGAGCTTAATTGCCTTGCTCAAGAACAACACAAGCAATGTTTCTGTCACAAGCTCACTTCTCTAACCTTTGGGCCGCTGCTAAGCCCCTGCTGAATACACACCTTTCCACCAAAGGAGTGGCTGAAACCTCAACTGGTGGTGACAATGTGTGTAATGCTGCAGTGATAATCAGGTATTAGGATGGTAAGGAAATCAGTTTTTCCTGCTATGGCGTTGTCGGATCTTTCACGGAAAAATACAGCTGAACAGACTGTTCCCAGTTGGATGTTTTTATAGAGCAGCACCACGTTACTCTAATTACAATGTCATTGATGAAGCAGATCAGTGCTACTGGGAGCCCAGTTATTTAAAATGGGCTGCTGGTTGTAGTTTAGTTAAATGAGAGTCTGTAGCATTTTTATGCACCTGTATGCCACAAATTGTTTCTCTTGAGTGCTCTTTTCTTTATTTCCATATTTGGTTTCCTAACTTTTTCATCAAGCGTGTGTCTGTGTATGTCAATGTATGTAGGAAGCCACAGTCCAAACAAGGCCAAGGGGTGTAGGTTGCCATAGTGATGAGTAAATGAACTACAAGTCTTGCTTTGCTCTGTGAAAACTTGAATGAGCGCACTCAAGTTCCTAATCTTCAAAGCTTTATTTACACAAGAAAGGCGTGTACATTGACTTCTATTTTGCCAGTCCTGATTTTTTAAACCTCATCTGGGATTCAACCCAACAACCTGATGGTCACACACCCTAATGTCTTGAGCATGACAGGACAACACAGCAACATTTAAGTGTAATGCCACTGACTTTGCTGTGGGAACACGCAGCCGTCCCTGTGGGGAATCACATATCTTCCTCTGTCTTGTGCTGGCAAAGGTGGGGACTGAAAACTGAACGGCTCCATTTCCTTTGCTCCACTTACAAATCCATTCCAAGAAAAATACAGAAAATGGAGGTAAAAATCCAACTCCATCATACCTCAACTTATAAAATCTTGCTAGGGCACAATCTTTGTGGTTGTGTTAAATAATTACAGTAATATATCAAGAATGAAGCACCGTTTATAGACTCTCGCTCTGAATAAAAAGACCTCTCTTGTCTACAGTTTCACCTGCTAAGAGGAGGCCACAAACGCCAGAAGGAAGGCAAAGCCAGCCAGTTCGCGCTGCTCCAAAAAACCTGTTTGAAGATATTCATCTCTGCTTTGCTTGCCTGAAGAATACAGAGTATACGTTTGTGAAACTGGGCTCAATACTACCATGATGACAACCAGCACTTGAGCGATGACTTTTTTCATCAGCAACATAGCAAAGTGGTTTCCTAAATTTACCCAACAGCATTATGTGGCTTCCCAAATTCGTTCTCTGAAGTGGATTAAACCTTGAATGAGCGCTGCTGAAATGCCCAAGCGGCTGTTAAAACAGACAGACAAACCAGTCATTGCGCTAAGAAAATAGGACCATCTGGTTACAACCATCCATTGTATTCTCTCACCAAAGATCTCGGTGAGGAAACAAAACAAAGACACCTTTCAAAGGGCATGATGGGAGTTTGAAAAGGGCAAAGGTTTAGTGTAAAATGATCTGGCGTTTTACCATCTGCTTGGATTTTGAAAGTCTCGTGTGTCTCTCTTTAACAAACAATCATAGCTGCAGAGTGCGGATGTGCAATCACAACACCGTGATCATACTGCTGATCAGAGTGGAATTAATGCCAAAACAATAAGTTGTAATAATCAGTTTAGAAATCATTTATCAAGCAAAAATGAAAACAATTAGCTGGTGCTTCTCAGTTGTGAACATTTCTCTTTTTAATGTCCTTACAAGTTGTGCATTGTGATGTGCGTGATGGGCATTTAACACTATTTTCTGGCATTTTAAAGACTTAATGTTTAATAGCAATCAATTTCTGCAGCAATACTAGTGATCATTTTTCAATGTGCTGTTAATGGTTTTATGACAAATGCATAACTATATCTAAAGGAGGGGCATTGTATTCTACACGTAATCCAGAGTGCAGTTGGGACTGAATACATCAGCGTGAGTCAGAGAGTTGCGAAAGTGGACGTGGAAGTTGGTACGCTCGATTACAAAGGAAAGACTTTCTATCAAAAACGGTTCCCTTGCGCTTTAAGGCGATGATGAAGCAATCTGTCAGAATAAGTCAGCAAGTTCAACGTAAGGTGCACAGAGATGGCTCACACATACTCAACGACACAAAAGAGACTTAACAACTTCCTCAATGTCAGTCTGATTTTTGCCAGTTTTTTTCCAAGCTCAAAAGTCTCAAAAGGTAACTGAGAGGACTTATCTTATATGGGTGCATATGTTGTTGTTTTGCTTGTTGGTTTGTGTCATGGGAATTTCATGATAATAAATTCCACTAAAGGTGGAGCAAGTTTGCTGAACCACTGACGCCACCATGGATGAGTTCAACTCTGACCTACTGATCCGACCATGCTGAAAACTGTTGACACTGTGCAATGACTTAACCGGCCTCACTGATCTCACTGCTTATGTTACACAACAGACTCAACCACTGTTTGTTGTTAAATGTATTTGTGGTTGAATCGGTAAGAATCGGTGGTTAAAATTAATGTAAACAGCAAAATAAATAAAAATCTACATTGGGCATTTGTCTGCTCTACCAGCTGCTGCTGCAAAGACATGCATGATCGTATCGTAACATTCTCTTGCCACTTGGCTATGAGGACAAGAATCCCTGTCCCATGCCACAGAGAAGACACCTGATCTTTGGGTCTACATGTGTCCTGTAGAGAAATGGCATTCAAACAAATACAGGCTGCTATTTCAGAGTCAAACTCAGACACATTATTGTAAGCCAAACTATAATTTTGTCCTATAAGATGATATCTATCCAACTTGCTAAAGAAAACTAAATACCAGCAATATTTCCTTATAAGCGTATCTTATTTGAGATGACAATCAACTAACAACTGGTTAAACTGCAACACTGTCATGTAGACTGATGCTGACTTTCAAAGAACCAAATTAGAAATGTAAAACCAGGTCTAATCAGCACATTTCATCTTTTGTTGTACATCTTTCCTTTGCAGACCCAGCCAGAAACACATGAATAAAAGATTCAAAGGAGAGATCAGGGAAGAAGGAGTGCTGGCACTAAACCTAAATCACCCTTGATGTCACAAGAAGGCATCAGCAAGGCTCTGTAGATGCTTAGATTTGGCTGATTTGGGGATTAACATCTAAGAAAAGGGTCCAGTTAAACGAGAGGTTTGGTTACAGTATTGTCATCACTGATACTTTCACTCCACCGCAGCATACCTGCCCTGTTGCCAAGGAAGATGATAAGGTCTGAGGTATGTAGCAAACAATGGGTTGGGATTTGGTGGACAAGAAAATGCAGCTATTACCACGACTTACAGAGAGAGGAGATGGAAACACACACTACAAGCCGCAAGTTAAAGTTCACTCTGCATCACCTTCACACATCACAATCTGGAAATGGATTTACACCTTGTTAAACACACATGAAACCAGATGTTCAACTGGTGTTTGCTCGGTGACTCACAGCACTGCAGTTGCTATTGTCACTGACTAACGTTACCAGTTGAAGTATGTCACTCATGCTAGCCTGTTAGCTAAGTCAGTTAGCTAGCATGCTTAGCCGCGCAAGACGTTATCAGCATTTTTCGTGAAGGTAGATCATCTCACCTTCCGCGATCACCCTCTTGATCCTCAGTTTCATGTCACCGAGCTCCACGACTTGTCCGACGAAATCATTCTGGTCCCGGCTGGCCGCTCCGGACGAGCCGGGCCCGGCTAGGAAATCCAGTGCCGACTGGAACAGGGACATTTTTTACCCAGCGCCCGGCTTCAGACTCACAGAGGCCGGCTCCAGGTGAAGGAATGAGCGGTCTAATCCCGAGCAGAGAGAAAAATCCACGGTGGTTTACTTTCCTATAACGGCTTATAATCAGGTGATATTATTCTTTCACTGGAAGCAAACATCCTCTTCCTGCTAATAGGCTGACGAGGCCGCCACCATCGTCAGTGCTGACTTCCGTGAGGGGTGATGACGTCAGGACACGATTAAGTCATGTGACGCGGAGAAAAACTTATGAAACAAAAAAAGGATGCTCGTCTTTTTCTCATGAAGAAAAGCTGGCATGTCGCAACGTGTTCACATCCACGCTGTAACATCAGTACGTGGCTGAACTGAAGGAAAAGGTTGTAGTTTTTTATTCGCAGTGTAAGTACTTCAAAATACCCAACATGCACCTGGACGGCAATAAATGTTGACTGGTACATATTGTTCAATGGGCCTAGATGGTAGGTCCACTATGTAGGAAAACATATCATATGCAACTTGCTCTAAAATGCAAAAAGTCAAAAGTCCCGTGACAAGAAATAGGCCAACCTTAAAATCCATGTAGCCAACAAAATCCTAAACACAATTATTATAGGATATAATAAAAGTAATAATAAATAAATGTTCATAAATATATTTTATAGATAGGAATTTTTCAGATTTTTTTTCCTGTGTTGGGCATGTATGCAGATCTGCTTTGTTGTATATATATTTTTTAACAGTGAATGAATTTAAAAAAAAAAAACATATATTCATTTCGATTTCAACAAATACTATGGTGTCAAACATGTCTTCACATTACATGAAAGAGCTGTAATCTTAAAACCTATCTTCAGATTCAGACATGGAGGGATAATAGTCTTGTGGTACACAATATCGTGTATTAGTACGCCATCTACTGGACACATACAGTACGTGTCAAGTTTATGTATTTGGTTCAGGGTATCACATTGACTGAGTTAGGCTAATAACTGTGTTAGGATAATAGTCCTGTGAACTTTTAAGTACGTTTTTTTGCAAACCTGGTCAACATGTTTCATTTTATAAACAATAAAAAAAATCAATTTAATTTGCTTATTTAAAATAAGGTTATTAAGATATTCCTAGGTGAAAAAATCATTAAGCATTTTCTATACACTGACCCATTTTTGCCATTTACTTTCCTTTAAAATGCCATAAAGGCTAAACAAACACACACAGACAAAAAGAGTAAAGAAACAAAAAGAAGGTACCATATTTTACAGAGAATGAATTAAAGTGGAGTGTGCAAGCAATCCCATGAGTATTTAAACACACAAACGGTCAGTTTTTTAAAGATTATTTTTTGCATTTCTGCTTTATTAAATAGTGGAGAGAGAAACAGGACAGGCAGGGGAGAGAGAGGGGATATATTCACATAGAAAAACCACATGAAAATAACTAAATAGAATAAAGGAGGCAAGACTCAAGTAAGTAAACCATTCACAAAAAGGGAGGGGAACAGGAGATGCTAAGAGAGTAGTCATTGATTGCAGGCAACACAAGTTATTAATTAACTACTCACACCTGTGAGCCGTTACCCATCAGGCCCTGGGGCAGCATAAAAACCTTCTCAGAGAGGCAGATTTTCCCCTTTTTTGCAGTCTCCCGAGGCAGCCACTTGGTGAGCTGTGTGTGTGTGTGTGTGTGTGTGTGTGTGTGTGTGTGTGTGTGTGTGTGTGTGTGTGTGTGTGTGTGTGTGTGTGTGTGTGTGTGTGTGTGTGTGTGTGTGTG